TTATTTGGGATTAAAATCAGGCTAGAATGGTTATATCAAACAGTATACTTCATGGTATCAGACAGGCTAATTCCTAGTCAAGTTTGATAACATCATCTAGAATTGAGTCAAAATACGCTAGAAGTTTGAATTTGATAATTGATTCATATAGCTAGAATTGGTTCACGGGCGGTCAGGAATCTTTTATGAGTACTATTTGAATTCTGTCCTAGAAACCCCATATTTGCTCTACTATTGGCGAAGGAGGATTTAGTATAGTTTATAAAGCAATATGGAATAATGGTCCGCCTTATTGGAATAAAGAAAAAGAAGATTTTGAATATAAAAATTTTAAATTAACTTTTGCTTTAAAGGAACTTAATAATTCGAAAGATATTACTTCAAAAGAATTAAATGAGGTAAATTTATTTTTTAATATAATGATTATAATACACATATTTTTATACTAATTCATACCTATTTAAATTAGCTTATGATGATCTATAATGCTAATTTAAATGATAGATTCATCATTTCTTTATTTAATTTAAATAGATATTATGGAATTACCCAGAATCCTGAAGCAAAAGATTTTATTATAATTATGCAATATTATAAATATGATTTAAGGCATTATATAAGCAATAATTTTTATAATATTGAATGGTATGATAAAATAACACTATTAAACCCAATTATTAATGCACTCAATAATATTCATTGTTTATCAATTATTCATCGAGACTTTCATAGTGAAAATATTCTTTGTAATAACGAATATGATGTGGTAATTAGTGATTTAGGAATTAGTAAATTATCAACTGAAATATCAATCAATGAAAATGAAATTTATGGGATTATTCCTTATATTGCTCCAGAAATATTGCAAGCGCAAAAAAGCAATAAATATATAAAGGCCTCAGAAATTTATAGTTTTGGAATGATTATGTGGGAATTAATGACAGGTAGAAGACCTTTTTGGGATCAAAATCTTGATACGGAACTTATTATTAAAATTTGTGATGGTATTCGTCCTCCTATTAACACTAATGCACCTGAAGGATATATTGAATTAATGCAATTATGTTGGCATCCTGATCCAAATAAGAGACCAACAACATGGGCTATTCGTCAACTTCTTGGTGAAATCAGTTTGAATGAACAAAAAAGTCAAACTAAAAATTATTAACTCGCATGATATTGGACCTGTGAGTAAAGTAACAAGTATATCTGCAGAATCAGCAAGGAGTTTAAGAAATCGAAGTATATTTGGTAAATAAATTTTATTTTAATTGTCATTTTATACGATTACTTGATAATATTAACAGACTTTATTTTTTAAAGGCAAAAGAAAATCTGTCGATAGTGACAATGGTATATATAAGCTAATTAAGTGATCAAAATATTTCAATAAATATACTTAATTTTTTCTGTTATTTTAGATGAAAATATTAAAAATACCATAATCTATGAGAATGGTCGCAACGAATTTAGTAGTAAGTAATGAATCCTTATATTAAAGTAATATTCTAATACAAGTAAAATATAATTAATTATTTTCAATGATTCATAGACTATATTACTAAAAAACTAGAATTTGATATATAATTATTTTGATATTAAACGCATTTTAATGAAAGTAACTTTTAAGACATCGCAAATAAAATTTTGATAAATATTCCCTAAAATGATAGGACTAATGATTGATAATTATAATAATTTCAGGCCATATTTTCTAAATATAATCTTAAATTCTGTGTCATGTAACGAATACGTTATACTAAATAAAAATAAAAAAAAATGAAAGTTTTCAAGTTACAGAATTAGGAATAATTTATTACAATAAGGTGTCACAAGAATTTTAGTGTCGGGAAAGGCAATTCTAATTTACTAAAAAGTGGTTAAATATACGCATTTATTATAATACTCAATTTTCATAGTAAATGAATCATATATAAAAAATTAATAGAAAACATAAATCATATGTGAATATAATATTTCGCATTCAAAATTTTGAAATTCATCATCAATTGACAAATTTCACATTTATGAATTTATAGTGTTATTTATTTTATTTAATTCGTACTTACTTATTTATTGAATGTTAATATTTTATATTACTATTTACTTTGGGTATTTGGAAAGATTAAGTATTTACGAATATAGAGTCACTAATGAAAAACCTTTTAATGAAGGTTTTAAGTTTAGCCTACAGTACGTCGCTGAAACATATTCAGAACATTCAAATCTCGTGCAAAAAGAATTTTTAGATTATCGCAACGGTCACGAAAATATTATACTAAATTGTTAAATCAATCTGTAGATCTCTTATATACGCTTTTTTTTAAAAAAAAATATGCCGAAAAAAATGGTGTAGCAAACTATCTTGTAACCACATAAATTTTATTAAAATTTATCAGTTATTTACGGTCATGGGATACTCATGCAATTGACACATTATTATTTAAGAATATAAGTTAGTTTGTGATCATAAAATTCAAGTTCAATTTATGCAATAACAATGGTAAAATGGATTTCCCCGCAATAGTTTAGAAGTTTTCTTTTTTTTCTTTTTTATTAAATAAATTTCCATCAATATTGTTTATATAATTTCGCTAAACAGAATTGTAAAAATTTTAACGATTATACATGGATATTTATAATAATAATATGATTATTTTTAAATTGAAGATTTTAGAATGTTAGAAAACTATATGTTTAATTGTTTAAAGTGTAATAATAGAAGTCAAAGTAACTATCTATTACGATGAAATAACAATTAATAAAAATCTAATAAAGTGTCTAATATATACATATATAAATATATTTTTAATAAAGAATTTGTCTCTAGATTAAGGGTTCCATATTTAGCGTTTTGCGCCGGTCGAATCGACCCGGATTTTTTGAGATTTCGTTCAGATCGGGTCGTAATTTAAACCCGAGAACCGAATTAAATCATCATATTATATTATTTGCTTGACCCGGAGTATTACTCACTTTAGCTCGTCTTTTTGAATAATACAATGCGGTGCTATACCGGTGATTTAATTTCATTTTTCATTATCTTTAATAATGGACAGAGATGGGCCGAAAATAACTTAAACACAACACAATAAACACAATAAAAAAGAACTTTGATTACTGTCGATTTTCCCTGAAGCGAAGGAGTTTTAAAAGATTATGTCTTAATTCAGCGAAATAAAAGAGCACAAAGTTTGACTGATAGGCTTTCACAACGGGTATTAAACATCACGTCTTAGCTTTCGAGAACAAAGTTGTGATTTTGTTACGTGACATACCAAATGATTTTCTGGTGTATATTATAACAAAAAAAAGACTTATAAATGGTCTTTCGGAATTTGCCTCCTGACCATAATTCCTATTTTATAATAAGTCCATGATAAAAGGTAGGCGTTTGCCCAGAATAAAAACAAATGCTGATAATAGTAATTTAATATTTATTTTAGATTTTTCCTTGCATTGTAATCATTACGAAATCTTAAATAAATAAAAAAACGAATCTGAATGATTGAGACAATACCTTATTTGCGAGGTTTTTAAAATTAATATTTCGATACAATTATTATATTCAATTGAAAAGAAACCTTCTGCTTACCTTATATTCGCTTATAACTAATAAACGTAAAAGAGCTGCGCAATAATATTCACCCAAAAATCAAAAATGTTGAGCATAGGAAAAATTTTAAAAGAAGTAAAGTTGATGATGGGTTGTTATATTATTCAATAATCTGTTTTTAGTGTGGAGAAGTACCGGATTATGAATGTGATGAATCTGATAGAGTTAATTTAAACGAAGAATTATGGTGGTGAGCGTTATATGACAGTTACAAACACCAAGTTTCAAATAACAAAAATCACGAAAATAGTATGTTAAATTTTTATAATAAAGTATATATGCTATCATTATATAAATCACGTGAAAAAAATTTACTATAAAAAAAATCACGAGAATCTAAATTTTTTTTTTTGCCCTGCCTAATACAATAAATTTTTATTACAATAATCAATTTTGAGTTATAGTGCATTTAAATCAGCCAATTAAAGTTTCAATGTTATTTGTTAGTATTATGCTACTTGATTATTTAATTATTTGATATTTATTGAATATCTAATGATTAATGAATTTATAATATATTTTATTATATAAAATTATTTGGGTAAAAATAACATTTCTAAATGTAAAGGAGCTGCAATTTTTACTTCTAGACATTTGTATTCTTTAATTATTGATTCATTCATAATAGAATTCAAAGAGGTGATATAAACTTTAGTCCAGTTGAAGCATCGGCTTAATGCAACTTATGCTTAACTGACTAAGAAATTTTGTAAGTTTAGGCATAAAATTATTTCTGGTAAAGTTAGACCTTGTGTTTAAGATTGCTAGAGAAACTAGAGGCTAAAATGCTGAAACTTTGATGAAATTATATTAAAATCTTATAATTAATTATGCTGAAACAATGGCAAAATGCTAAAATGATAAACTATCATAGTAAATGTTAATAATGGAGAACTATAAAGAAACTATATTAAACTTTTATTAAAACATTGCTAAAACAAATCGTAGAATTTTAAGGAGGTTTAGGCAAGCATTCTTACTTTTAGACTTGTCAAAAGACTAGCAAAAGTACCAACTCCAGTTATAGAATTCCTTACAATTCTTGGAGCGTTGGAAGAAATATAATGTGAATTTAAATAAAAAAAAATAACTCCAAGTATAAAAGCAAAAGAATAAAAAATAGTATATATAGTCGTTTTTTGTTTCACATCGTCCGTAATACTATAATTATCTTCCACAGTCTTCTTCAATCTTTCCAAATTTAATTTCCTCTTCATTTTTTTTTCTGTTCTAGTACTTACATGTTTTGATTCGTCATTCGTGCGCGTTTCTCCTAGTTTTCTTTGCTTTTTCCTTCCATTTCAACCAAGTCTTTCTAAAATAAAATAATTCACAGGTTAGCCGATTCTGTATTGCCAATTTCGTACCCTTTTTGGGTATTTAGAAGATTCGTATTTGATCAACAATTTCCCAATTAGTCAATTAGTTTGTTTTATATCGGACTAGTTTCCAGTTAATTTACGTAATAAAATAATATTTAAGAATTTTTATCTTTCATATCAACAAAGATTTTCACATATGCGCCGAATCATTTGTAAATATAAAGTTCATCATGTCTAGTCATAAATGGAAAACTTGGGATTTTTGAAGGATTTAAAATGAAATCCATTGTAAAAGGTTAGAAATTATCATTACACTAATTAATACAGAATAACAAAATTTGATTGGTAGATTAGCGCACGAACCTTCCCAGTTACAGTATATAAAGTTTATATCCGGTATAATAATTTTTATTAAACTATTTTTTTTTTCCCCGAAATAATTTCTTTTTCAAACCCTTTTCTGGAAATTAATTAACAAATAAATGGTTTTATCAAAGACTTACAATAAATGAAAAAGACCATTTCAAGAATATTTCGATTCCAATACAAACAATAAAAATGTAAAAATAAAAAGTCACTTATTATAAATAAAATTATATAATATCAATTATTTTAAAAGAAATAAATTATCTGAAGGATAATATTGGTAAAATCTGTTTGAATAATATTTTTTTTTTAAATCATTTGAATTCTTTTATAAAGTTACTTCGTAAAATTATTAGTTTATTGAAAATCTTGAGACAAAGCAAATCTTTTGAAAGTTTATATAAAAAAGCTTTTTACGCTCAAAAACTATACGAAGCATAAAAGAGGGTATTTATTTTTAGAAATTCATCCTATCCTATTTGGTTGTTCAAAAATTAATAACGTTATTTTCTAAATATGCTAAAAATTGAGTAGTTTTTTATTTGATAGTATACTTGCCTCAATTTCTCGAAGTATAATCACATAGTACCCTCCCCTATATTCTAAAAAAATTTCAATAAACAATAAAATAAAACAAATTTAATTTTCTCCAAAGTAACTGTTATTAAAGTCGGTAGTGCAGTTGTGATTGGTTAAATTTTAAAACTTGTTAGTGAAATCAACTACTTTTGGTTTAAATTAAGATTAAATATAACCAAAGGTATAATGTGACGTGACTTCTATTTATTTTACTTATAGATTATACTTGCAAGAGATACCCATTATAGTCTTACTTTCAATTTGTTTAATATTATATTCCATTAGATCTATTTATGACATATATTTGCTTGACAATAAACCTTTCCTGATTGTTTATTAAGATTTTGAATACATGCTCATTATAATCTTTTCTAACAGGGATATTTTGGTTTCTCAATTTTTCATCGGTGATTAACAATATCTTAGTCTTAAAATTCAGTAAAACCAATTAGTTAATTTCTTTGCATTAATAAAAAAAAGGTCTTAATAGAACTACATTCTTAGTAATCCAAAACAATGGATTATTAAGTAAAGATCTATTGTATAGTTGTGCGATCTTACTTCTACAAATTCTTTTTTAAATTTAAAAAGTAATGCATTTTTAATTGTTAAAATTCAAACAATTTTGCGCAATGAATTTTTTTTTTTAAAGAAGGTAATTTAAAAATGATATGTTCAAAAGTAAATAAATTCAAGATTCATAAATAGGTATGGTTTAAATTTAAAAATATTAATAAAATATTTCATAAATTATTTGACAGAATATCCATAACTAGCGAAAATTTTCATCGAGCTATTTATCGATGAGATTTTTCACTAGTATTATCATATATGAAAAATTATAAACCTCAAAAAGGTCACTTTCCAAAATACTTACGATCTGTTCCTTCTCAGAAAAGAACACTTGTAGTAATGCAAATAAATTTATAAAGTAATATTAAAGTTACTGTATTCTTGCTCTTTTACAAAATTTACTTAATCCAAGTTCATCAATCAGGGAGTCATATTACATTACTTGATCTGAATAAAATTCTTAATAATGATTGGACTCTTCAACTCATGGTTAGAGATGGTCAGTCAGTCTAGCGGTCTTTGATTGGTCTTGATCGGACTTTAGGAAATTTTCGGAAAAGTAATAAGGCTGTGCTCCCAATTTTTTTGTGGCACAACAGTACTGATTAAAGACCGAAAAGTGGTAAAGTTTGGTCTCAATCTAATCACCCAATTTAGAACTAGGTAGGGTCTTTTACCAATTTCGCCTCTGCTGGTCTTAAAAAAAGAAGTATAAAGGCCAAATTTTGACATTTATTGGTCTTTAGCCTTACTTGTTGCGCCTCATAATTTCAAGGGTGCATTTCTTATAACTTTTCCAAAGACAGGGCAGGACCTTTCAGGACCGAAATACCGACTGACCATCTTTACTCATGATTCGAATAACTAGAAACTAATTCGCGAGTCAATCAATAGTTATCAAGTTATATCAAGTTAATCAAAATTTATATTTTTTATAAAGTTTTAATAAACTCGCAATTATATAAAAATGTACTTTTCTTGCAATTGCAACTTTTTATCTTATTCATTATTATCAGTCAATTTGTTAGGTTACAACAATTGCAAAGGATTTAGAGTTTCATATTATGATGGTACGCTAACTTCAAAAATCATTCTTCTGGATCTAATTATGTATATAAATATTTTTTAATTTAAATCTTGAAAAATGATTAATTATTTAAAAATTTAATAATCGTGACTCGAATAATTCGTAATATTTAACTCGATCACAAGATTCGAGTACTCTTCTGAGTTTATTTACTTAATTCACGAGTCACGAGTTAACACGAGTTCATTCACTCTCCTAAACTCAAATAATCATAATTTGTATATAATTTTTTTTATAATAATAAAACATCATTATATTATTTTAAATAATAAAACTATTCATTAAATGTTTAACAATGAAATTATTTCAAAACGCATCTATCAGTATTAATGCAAAAATAGGAGTTTTCATAAAGTAAGGCAGAGTTTGAGTTGCTGCCATAAAGAATTAGCCTAAATCAGAAAAATTAGTCGGCAGGTTATTATTGTATATTAAAAATAACAAGCATATATTTATGCTTAATAAATTATTTTCCTCTTTTGAAATTACAAAATGCAGTTATTTATTAGATCGTTGGTGTGTATTGATTTTTGTATGTAAAGAAACCTCGTTAGCATGCGGGTTAATAATAATTTTAATTTGATTAAAAATTCACATGTAAGTAAAAGTATCAAACTAAAAAAAAAAATTCATTTTAAGACTCGTCGAGCGTGAGCTTTTTAAGTTGTGTTGTGTGCTTTCAACGGAGACTTGCTCGAGCCTGTCTTAAAATACTTTCTATTTTTTTAAAAAATTAATTAAAAATGATATATATATTTTTTTGCAAATATAAGCTTTTTTTTTAATTTTTATTAAATTTTAAAAGTCCATTAAAAAACGTAATCTTAACAAAGATCGTCTAAAGTGAAAGGTATTTTTTAAAAATATTTCTTTTTTCAAATCTGAAAATATTTGGAAAATATGATTTAGTCTGTCATTATAATTAGGTAGAAAATATAAATCAGTAATCTGAAATTAATATCATCTTTAGGAATTTAAAATATCACATCAAATCTTTCATTTGCGTTATTTTAAAAGTCACTTTTATTAATATGTAACCACATGCGTTGTTATACAAAAATTATACAGAAAAACGTGCAATGTTTGATTTACTGTATATATAGTTTCAAAAAAATATTGTATCAGATATATCAAAATCTAGTCTTTTAGAAATATAATCTATGAATTATTGACAATAATTAATTATAATTTAATGTTATTATTACATTGCTATAAAATATTCATTACTTACTATGATTAGATCCATTGCGATCATTATCATTGGATTTGGCTTTTTTAATATTTTCGCCTAAAATTACAGAAAAATAATTAAGCACATTTATTTGAAAAATATTTGAAAAATTAAAATGACTTATACATACGATTGTCACTATCCTCAAATTTTCTTTTACCTTAAAAATATACAAGTTCAGTAATCGTGAAAATAAAAGTATTTATGATAATTAAATAAGATATATTTACCAAAAATACTTCGACTTTTTAAACTCCTTGTAGATTCCGCAGAAATAGTTGTTACAGTTGTTACTTTACTCGTAGGTCCAATATCAATAGAATTTATAATTTTAGTTGGATTCTTTTTTTCATTCGAAATTATTTTCTTAACTGATTCACGAATAGCCCTTGTTGTTGGTCTCTTTTTTGGATCAGAATGCCAACATTTTTGCATTAATTCGATATATCCTTCAGGTGCATTTGTGGTGATAATAGAAGGGCGAATATCATCACAAATTTTAATGATAAGTTCTGTATCGTAATTTTGATCCCAAAAAGGTCTTCTACCTATCATTAATTCCCACATTATCATTCCAAAGCTATAAATATCTGAAGCCTCTGTATATTTATTGCTTTTTTGCCCTTGAAATATTTCTGGAGCAATGTATGGAATAATCCCATAATAGCCATTTTCATTAACAGATGCTTCAGTTGACAATTTACTTATTCCTAGATCACTAATTACAACATCATATTCGCTATTACAAAGAATATTTCCACTGTGAAAATCTCGATGAATAATTCCTTAATAATGAATATTATGAAGTGCATGAATAATTTGTCGTAATATTATTAACTTATTATTCCATTCCATGCTATAAAAGTTTTTAGTTATATAATTTTTTAAATCATATTTATAATATTTCATAATTATTACAAAATCCTTTGTTTTAGAATTTTGAGTAATTCCATAATATCTATTTAAATTAAGTAAAGAAATAATGACTCCATCATTTAAATTAGCATTATAAATCATCATGAGCTAAAATTTAAAGAAGTGTAAGTATAAATAAATATAGAATTATATATTTTACATAATTTTTAAATTTACCTCATTTAATTCTTTAGAAGTAATATTTTTAGAATTATTAAGTTGCTTTAAAGCAACTGTAGATTAAGATCTTTATATTCAAATTCTTCTTTTTCTTCATTCCAATGAGGTGGACTATTTTTCCATTTTGCTTTATAAACTATACTAAATCCTCCTTCACCAATACATTCTATAATTTGAAATTGATCATAAGGAATAAACAAAATTCTTGTGGATTCTTGAATAAAATTAATTTGTGTATATTTAATAAATATGTCAATAACTTTATTTCCACTTGGATGAGATAATAATTTAGATTGATAACAAATTATACAAATCTCATAATTTTGTTGTTTTAAAGGTTTTCTTTTCTTAAAACAATCAGCACATATATCATAATTGTTATTTTCCAGTTTAATCATAAATTCTATTGATGTAATTTTTTCAATTGAATCTTTAATATAATAATCTTTAATTAAATCTTTATTTTTTAATACTTTTTGAAACCAATAAAGAGATTTTTCAATATTTTTTTTCACTCCATTAGCATTTAAATAACAAAATGCAAGATTAAATTGTGCTCTAAAGTTTTCATTTACCACAGCTTTCTTATACCAACAAAAGGCCATTTCTAAATTCTTTTTTGTTCCTTCACCATTATTATAACATATTGCTAAATTATACTATGCATTAGTATTATTATTTTCTGCTGCTTTTTAATACCAATAAAAAGTTTTTTTTAAATCCTTTTCTATTCCTGTACCATTTTTATAACAAATTGCTAAATTAAGCATTACACATATATTTTCATTTTCTGCAGCTTGTTGATACCAATAAAAGGCCTTTTTAAAATTCTTTTCTGTTCCTTCATCATTTTCATATAAGTTACCAAGATTATTTTGAGCATATTTATTATTTTTTTTAGCTATTTTTTGATACCAATAGAAAGCTAGTTCTAAATTCTTATTTGTTCCTGTACCATAATTATAACATATTGCTAAATTATACATTGCATCTTCAATTCCATTTTCTACAGCTTTATTATATCAATAAAAGGCATTTATTAAGTTTTGTTCTATTCCTTCACCATTATTATAACATAATGCTAAATTATATATTGCATATATATTTTCATTTTTTACTGCTTTTTGATATCAATAAAAAGCTTTATTTAAATTCTTTTCTGTTCCTTTACCATTTTCATATAAATATGCAAGATTATATTGTGAATTTTTATCATCCTTTTCAGCTGCTTTTTGGTACCAATAAAAGGCCAATTTTAAATTCTTTATTGTTCCTATACTATTTTTACAACATGTTGCTAAATAATACATTGCATACTCATTTCCATTTTCTGCAGCTTTTTGATACCAATAAAAGACCATTTCTAAATCCTTTTCTGTTCCTATACCATTTTTATAACATATTGCTAAATTGCGCATTGCAGATATATTTTCATTATTTGCTGCTTTTTGATACCAATAGAAGGCTTTTTCTAAATTCTTTTTTGTTCCTTCACCATTTTCATATAAATGAGCAAGATTGTTTTGCGCACTTTTATTGTCATCTTTAGCAGCTTTTTGATACCAATAAAATGCTTTTTCTAAATTTTTTTCTGTTCCTTTACCATTTTTATATAACATACCAAGTTCAAATTTTTGCACATATATCTCCATTTTCTGCAGCTTTTCGCAACCATTGAAATGCTAAATTTTCATCGAGTTCAGTTCCAAATCCTATAGTATAGCATCTACTTAAATATTGTTGCGCAATAGGATAATCATCTGCTGACTTTAAAAAGTTTATAAATCCTTCATTATTATCTTCTTTTAAACTGAGCAAATTGTAGTAAAAAAATATTCCAAGGAAAAAAAGATTTTTTGGTTCATTTTGATTTTCTTTAAGCCAGTTATATATGGCATCGATTGATAGAGTAGTATGAGCAATGGATTCATTAATAAAATTCTTCGTTTCGTTAAAATCAGCTTGTAATTTATTTAAATGTGAGAATAATTCATCAATTAAAATATCATATTATCAATTGTAATTATTTCTGATGTATTAAGGCATTCTTTATGTTTTGTTTCTGATTTTGACATTTTAGTTGAGCTAAATAAAAGAGCAAAAAAAAAACAAAAAAAAAGTGTCTAATTATAGAAAATCGGCGTATTATTTCTTTCTGGTAAGTTGCACAAAAGAACATTCCGAATCATTTTTTGTAAACTAGGGGTGGTTACACAACGAACTTTTGGAAAAATAATATTGCTGAATTCCGGAGCGAGCGACCGAAAAAAATAAAAAAAGAAAGACTGTAGCTGCCGTACGACTAAAAATAAAAATAATGAAACGGTAACATTAAAAAACATAACCTGATCCAACTCGAAAGAGGAGCCTATAGCAAAGAAAAAGCCGCTGAAAATTTTTCGATCTACCGGAAGCATGTATTATTTATCATCTTTTTTATTCTTGCTAAAGAACATTTTCGATTTATTCAATAAATATAAATTGAAGCTTTGTCGTATGAAAACATAGCATAAAGCATAAGTCCAAAAACCTAAGGAACCCGTCAAGTCATGATGAACTTTTTCAAAGTACATGGCTAAACTCTTTGCATGAAGCAGTAGCAAATTCTGCAGTTTGGATTAAAATCATAAAAAGCAGAGCAAAAAATATTACGCGGTCATTAGTATTAAATGTCTAGATGATATCTTTCAAAATTTTGTAACATCTTTTCATTATGCTAATTATGGCATATACTGTTCAATTAAAAAATTTATTATTCGCCATTTCATTTTATAACTATTATAACAAACAGTAACACAGATTAGACCAATTTAAAATCCTGTTTCGGATTTATACGAGTTCATAACAAAATTTTGCCAAGACAAAATCAATCTTGGGGACTCACTATAATATAACCGGAGAATTCCATTCAAAAATAAGTTTCTTATTCTAGATAATAAAGATTTTCTCTGATAAAAATTTATAATTGATATATCAGTTATAATATTTTTAATAAAAAAAAAAAATTAATTAAAATTTAATAATCTTTTTATTGAATCGTGACCGAAAATATCTAAATATCAAAAAATTTTTTTTGATAAATTGTATTAAAATCACTACAGAAAATATGCTACGTAAGGTGATTGTTACGCGCAGTTCTTTATGTTTTATATTGAAAACGATAGTAAATGATTATGTTTATAATTGGACTTTATTAATAACAATGAAATATTAACAACTTAAAACTACATAAATAAGGTATTACGTATTTTATTAATGTTCAAATAACATGAAAGGGGATAAATGCTATACTAATGCTATCTATTGATATTATCTTGGGAACATGATATTCTTCTCAAGCGAAATCCCTCCAATTTTATACCCTAAATTCAACACTAATTGTCCAGAAGCCATTTTGTCCACGAAACAAATTGGCCGACCTACCGGTTTTCAAAAATCTAACTAGATACTAATAAATCTTAAAATTAAAAATAGACAAAATTGGGGCACAATTCCCCTCACTGGAAATAGAGCAATTGCATTAGTAATTAATATCTGTAACAATAGCCGAACATAACATACATTCAGGTTAAAAATGAACTAGGTATAATAAGGGCGAAACCGTAAGAACCGGATATTTATTACGATTGACAAAGTTAAATGTATCAAACTAATTTCTAATTTGAAAATTTTTAACACTAATTCATAAGAATACTTACGATCACGTAAACCTAATATATATGATATTTTAATCTATTCTTTTTAAAAATCGTTAAAATCTTTAATTTAATTATCACTCTTCTTATATTTATGTAAAGGATCTGGCGATTTTGATACTTCAAAATTGTTAGCTTTTTATAACCATTTTTTTTAACGTATTCTTTATTTTTATTTAAATAATTATTAAAGAAAGAATTTTTTTTAAAATCAATTTTTGAAATACGTTTCCTATTATAAAATCACGTGATTTTTATCCGTGGCGAAAGAAATCGATTGTAAATATGATCACGTCTTCACAGTAAATGAAGAATTTTTCGGCGCGGCTTATGACATTCTATCCCATCAATAGATTAAGTAAATTATTCATGTAAGCATCAATTTGTTACTTCATTCCCTATCCTTGCGTCAAAAATTAGACATTGTTACCAAAATGACCTCTTTGCCAAAGGTAATATATATAAATATGCAATTTTCTTTAGGAGTGAAAGAAATTAGAAAGAGATTAATTATCAATCAAATGAATCAATGCGACAATTTGGTACGAGAGAGTCGGAGAAAATAAAATGAATTACCACAAATTATAAAATCATCATCTAGTTAAGTCCGAGGAATGGCTTTGGAATTGCAAATGGCAAAATTATGTTCCTGATTTCCAACTCCGAATCATACAACGAGAGTTGGTTGGTTGCTGATGAAAGAGAATATCCAAATAGGTCTTCATCTAATCCGTGTTGTAATTAACCCTCCTACAAAATGGTCGAGTAATTCATGTGATGCCTTATTTTTTTTTATTTTTTTTTTTTTTATACAAACGTCGAAAAAACAGACTCTTTTTCGGTTGATCGAGCTACATTATGTGACATGATATTATTATTTGACTAGAACTAAATTCAATTCTCGAAGGAATTTACTTTCCATTCTAAATTTTGGTTTTATTATCGCCAGTTACTGCATATCTTGAATGATTTTATAGATGATTTGAAAATCTGAAATGTCTTGGTTTATCCTCGCTGAATTTATATATCTCTTTATTTGTGATAGACATTATTTGTGAAAGACATGAGCTGATTAATACCAACCCAGACTAATATCAAGACAAGACGATTTTTGTCTATTATGTTTTTTTAAGCGAGCATAAAATATTTCGGCATGATCAATATTTTCAATTCCTTTGAAGTCGATTTTTTTTCCATTTCAGATGATTGCATGGAAATTAAACTATAATGGTGAATATACTGTAAGATCTGCATGCATCACCTTGTGTAATGATCTTTTACTCCAAATTTACATTCGTGAAATATAATCTTTTGATTCTACAATCCAAAGATATTTAAATATTTTTTCTTATTAAAAGATTATCTAAATTGTATTTGTAAATGCAAGTTATCCTTTAAATAAACTATTAATCTAATAATCATATTCTCCAGTTCCATTTTCAACTTCAGTGTCATTTGGTTCCTCTACATAATAATAAATTAATAAGGACTTGAAGATTAAAAAATTTAATATAAGAATAAATATTTATTCACTCACCATTATCAAAATATTTCTCTATAAATATTTTTTTTAAAAAACAAAATAAATAAATAAATAAAAATAATGAATGGGCTAACTCTAAATAATTTATTATTATCGGATTACTACATACCATGTATTTCTTGTTCTTGCGTATAAATGTCATCGTACTCCTCATTAAAATCCACCGAATCATAATCAAAGTCGGGCTGAAAAATGAATAGTATTTTATAAGCATTTCGAACAAATGATCCTTCTAAATCACAGCATTCTTTCAACTTACATCTTCACCAGACATGAATTTCTCTCTCATTATATCCACAAGATCAGCTCGAAGTTGTTCCTTTTCTTCATCAGATATATGCGAAACTTCTTTCTTAACATCTGAAGTTACACCATCATTTCCTTCCATTTCAATATTTTCTATATTAACTACATTCGTATTTTCCTCAATTTCATCATCTTCGTCCTCTTCCTCCTCTTCTTGCTCATTTTGAATTCTTCTTTCTTCTAATAACCTATCGTGAATATAGTTTTGATCTAGATCATAATAAACTCTATTGATCAAATTAACATCATCATCAAATGGTTGAAATTTTTCTTCTTCAGGAATATATTGACCAACATAATCTTCATATAAACTTGGTTCTCTCATTTCCATTGCTTCATTACTAAAATATGAAGTATTGTCGAGTTTGGTCGTAAGATATTTAAATCTTCTATTAAGGATTTGTTTATTATGCCTTGAATTTGGTAAAAGTTGCCTTGATATTATTGGAGGTTCACTTGCTATTGATGAAGAAATTGTATTTTGATTTTGTGTAGAAAGTAACTTGTTTAAATACCAATTTACCTCATAATCATCTACGAAATAAATTATATAAAAAGTTACAATTATTTTCGTTTTTGTTTCGAAAAATTTTATTCCAGGGAAAGGTTAAATACGTACTTCTTAAACACTCGAATTTTTCTAATTCATTTTTAGGTAAAAATTTCCCCCACCTTGTTAAAAACAAGGCGGGATCATTTCTCAAGGTTTGTTTTATAACGGATAATTTTTCGTCATCAGTAGCTTCAATTTCGTTCTCTCTCAATGACTTGAATTGTATAGATGATAAATTATTTGAAATAAAATCTAAAATTTCTTCTTTAATTTTATTATCCATATTTTTTTTTTAAAAGGGTGAGATGAGAGATTCGCATTAATAATAGAGTTTTAGCGCATTTATCATGTGGATTAATATGGTAAATTTTTGTCGATCCATTACAAATTATTTTTTTTTTCAGCCCACTTTTATGATGTCGTAATTCTCCAAAATCCAATTTGGTTTTTATATATATATATATTTTTACTTTTTGATTCAATAGTTACGTCGTATCCGCTCTAATTTACATAAACCTTGATTTGTAAGTGTCAAATATTTGATTTAAACGAAATAAAAAAATCATCTTTTTTATCACTTAAATTTATGATATAAGATTCGGATCAGATTTAGCCGAAAAATCTGGGGGTGTCTAAGTGTAACTGTTCCTCTGATCATTGTATCATGTTCCCTTTTTGATATACCAAAGATGAAATTGGATTCTTTACACAATGAGAAATATCAAATTATTTTTTATTAATTATTCATCAAAATAAATCTTTTTTTTATTCAGCTAGTTGAAATGATCCTAGGGCTTAAGTTTAACGTAAGCCCTTTGATTTTATTGATTTTATTAGTAGTTGCCGTTTAATCCGTTTAATAGGCGTTAGGTTATTCTGGCATTATCATGGTAATTCTTTTTGATAATATTTTTTTGCATAACCCAAAAAAATGATATTGGAGTAGAATATCTTTGAAATCTATTTATACAAAACTCTAATTAAAATATGTAATGCTTTACATACAAAGCTTTTAGGAAGAAAAGCTTATGAAATTTTATGTGATCAACATGATTTTTAATTTTTTATACTAAGTATGCTGTTATTTAAATATGAGCTAAATTCCTTCGATAATAACGAATATCGTTATAATTTCTTACAAACGTAAATAATACGATTTTGTAAAAACTAGACTCATTATACATAATCTTTAAGTTGATTTCTAAATACTAAACTGTCAAGAGGCTATTTGTTAGAATAAGATTTGAGTTTATTAATTAATTTTTAATTACTCAAAAAAAATTTGGATATAAAATTTATGACAATTAAAAAAGAAGTTACATAGTTGTAAAGCAATTTTAGCTGCAAGTTTTTAAAGATTATTTTTCAGGAATGGAAGATTATGAGTTGTTGAAACCAATTACTTTCGATAACCAGACATTAAGAATTTATTTAGAAAATATTTTACATGGTTAAATATTAACCGGAATGATATCAAAAAATTGTTTGATTCAATGCCATTCAGAAGATAAAATTCTTTTAGTTTATTCTGTCTCGAAATTTGACTGCGCCCGAATTTGTATCGCGGTATTGACGATCAATTTCTGACTTACATATCTATTTGGAATTGACATTTCGGACCTATACGCTCCTCGGGATGATGTATAAATGACCGCTTTTAACATTAAAAGCGATTAATAAGCACTTCCGTCACCCAAGCCGCAAAAATATTAATCTTTGCCAAGAATTCCGTAACCTACCTAGTCATAAGGAGGAAATTATTATAAAAAGCAGGGTTTTTCGCTTTGGATTTTAAATTAGAATTAGATAGTTCTATATTCTCTTTGGTCTTATTACAGAGCGCCTGCAAAGGCAGTGATAGTTGCATTTATTGTAATATTTAAAATTTTAATTTAATAAATTGATTTCCCTTTATTTCTTTAAAACTTTATTTAATTCTTTATTCAATTGATTTACAGTTCATACGTAGTTCGCCATAATACATTGTGTTTCATAAAATAAATAATATACATAAATTACCTCCTTACGAATTTAAGAGGTGACAATACAATTTCAGCAATTCCTCGATTATCGATTCTTGTACTTTTGCAGCCCAAAATATGAGAAATTTCAATATAGTATTATTTAGTTGCAATACAGAATTCTAATACTTAGTTTTCCATGACACGTCCCTCTCTAAAAAAAAATATAATAATAATTAGGAGTGACTTATCAAAGTGCTTTAATTAGTATTGCGGAGGAATACGTTTCTTGACTTGAAAATTTAAAGCAATTACTTTTTAATAAGAACACTTAAAGTGAATAAATATTGCGATCGTACCGAAATTTTAACCCGTGCCCGTAAACTATTAAAACATAAATATAGACTATTATATCGAAACTACGTAATTATAATGAATATTGTTAACTATTAGCAGTTAAAACTCAAATCATAAGCTTTGATTTTCATACTATTCAGGGATGTTTAGGATGTTTATCGAATAGTATACTAGTTTGGAACTTAAATCATATCATTGTTTTTTTACTTTTACGTAAATGGTAGAGAATCGATGATGACTATTTGGTATGTAAAGCAAATTTCTGAACCACGATTACTTAGTTAATAATTAAATTAAAGACGGATTGTTGTAATTTTTGGTGGGCCTAATTTGGATCAATCAAAATTTCAATTTGTAAACTATTTAAAAAAAAAGAAATAAGTATATATAAGTCAAAATCGAAATAATAATTACGATTTCTAAAAATAATTTACTTTCAAATAAAGGTTTGTCCTGAATAAATAACTGTAAACTTTTTATATCTAATTAAATATACCAATAAAGAATTTCGTCGCTAATATTCCGATCAAAATTTCTTCATAAAACCGGTCTCATTTATTCTTCATTACTTTTCAACTACTGAAATCCCCTTCAATAAATGTTAAAACCAGCTTCAAAATCCTTAAACAACTAAATCCTAAATATTAGGGCAAACTAGTATCGCTTCAAATCAGAACTCTCTCAAACCCATCATTATTCTGAAAATTGATTTCGTCCGGAAGTTAAAACTAACTATTTTAACCGTAAAATTTAATAGTTTAAAATATAAATAAACTAGTTTTAAAATTTTATAATATTAAATTTTTAACTGCTCGAGCAAAATGTACCAATGATTCGACATGTGCGCTCATCAACGAGCGAAAAAATCGAAATCAAGTAAATATTTTATTTATATAATATACATTTTCTTTAACCGGCTCAACTCTTCTCTTCAAAAATAACTGACAAGGAATAAGAGGTGCTATTTGCGATAAAGACTTCATTAAGTGAACTTGCATGCAATCATATAGAGAATAAAGGAAAGAAAGCATGAAACATATCTTCAATCTAGAACGAAGCAATGTATTTAAATTCTTATAAATAAGCTGAAAAAATTTCGGATTAATTGCCCGATTGGACATATATAAGTTTATATGTCCAATAAGATAAATGTCCAACATTGTTTATAATGACCGAAAATCACGCGAATTAGTTGAGAATTGATCAAGATTATTATAGTTTTAATTTATGATGAATAATTAGAGTTTTATTGCGAATGCTGGCCGATCACCTATATCATTCGCCTGAAATCAGCGAGACGATAGTTCATTTTAGAGTAATCCCTACTGTTAAATATTGAAATCTTTTTTACCGTTTTACATTTACCGTTCAAGAGCTTTTTCTTTAGATCCGTTATTTATTATAGTAATTACTTCTTATTTCATCAATTTTATTTATTATATTTATTATTATTATGATTTTTAAATATGTAATTAGATTTTATATTTTTATAAAAAAGTATCTTTAAAAAAATAAATTTATATATTTTCACATTTTCAAAGTGAATTACTTAACTGAAATAATTGCAAATAATAATAGAAGTAATTTGAAAGCACGTATAACAAAAAAATAAGATGGTAATGGGCATGTTTAACAAAAAATTTAAGAAGGCTAGGCTTAAGAAAAATTTTGAATTATTAAATATTATGAAGTAATAAATATAATATTCTACAACTACAATATTGGATAAATAAAAAAAGAATTAATATAAAGGAAATATGTGGAACTAGAAAGTGTCTTTTTTAACTGGATTACTAAAATTACTAAACATGAATAATTACAAAATTATATTACTCAATTTAATAATACTAATAGCATCTTCACTTGCTTAAAATACAAATTTCAAAACTTATCTAATATTTTAAATGGTTCGAAGGCTTTTTATATCAATATAATTTATCAATTCAGCAATATATAATCTTTTATCTAAAAATCTAAAAGAAAAAAAGTTTTTAATTTATATTTTAAATAAATATAATCAATATAAATATTTTTACATTTAATTGGAAATATTAATAAAACTTTAATTATCTTTGATATTCTTAATTCAATAATCATTAAAAAATGTAACTCTTATATAATTAATATTAAACTAGACTAGATATATTTTTTTAAGATGATATTAAATTAAATAAAATATCTACATAAAAACTAGATAAATTTTCAAGTCTATAAATTAATAAGCCAAATAATTTAATATAAAATTATAGATTTAATTTCTTTATACAATTAACCTCCTCTATCATCCTACCCCTCAAGACTATTAAATAGTATGATTATATAAAGATGTACTTATATATACTAAGAGATATATTATTATATTCACTTTTATGTAAAATTTTTGTTGGTATGATTAAATGTATATTAATATGTATTGTATATAAAACTAAAATTAATCAATTTTAAATATCTGAAATAGTTAAACTAGTCAAATCATTATCATCATATCATATAATTTATTATATATAAAAATCTAATCAAAGAGTATGATTTAGTTAATATTATTTTATTTTTTATAAAATAATTACTATTTGAATCCTCACATTAAATGAACTTAAAGTGTTAATATTCATCAATTTGAATGATTTAATCTCAAAATAATTGTGATAGGATTATAATTTAATTTTATTTCAAATTTAATCATGATTATCTTATAATTAGTTAATAAAAAATTAATATTTAATTGCAAGAATTCAAATAGTAATTATTTTATGAGAATAAGCAATATTGATAAAGAATATACTTTTTTTAAATTTTTTTTGTATACTAACTATATAATAAATTTATATTAATAATATATTATAACTAAATAAATGAATATAATATAACTATATAAAAAGAAATTTGTTTATATTTATTATAAAACAAGACTAATAATTGATGTAATATATTATATAATATTCATACTATAAAAGATATATTTTCT